TGCACAGAGCAATGATGTGGCTGCTGTCTTCGTGGACAAATTTCTTAGTCACTGCTTCCTCCATAATCTGCTTCACCTGCACATGAAAGAACCACAATTTGTTACTGTGTCTGGAATCACTGTCATTGTCTTTACTTCAGTGACGCTGCCATTATTGCAGCAGTCCGCACCATTATCACAGTCAAGGTAACCTGCATCAGTTATACATCAGCCATCAGATATAAAAGATATCATCACAGGACATCATAAAACACAACTCATAAACTCTGTATGATCTCTGCAGTGAGAATCTGCAGTGTTTTCATACAAATAAATGTGCTGTTTGTTCCTCTCTTGAGCTGATATAAGGAGACTGCACTGACAGAAAATCCAAGGAGACATCATAGTGTTGCCCACACAGTTTAACTGACAAGTCATTTCTGGGAAGTGCAGTGCAGAAACACCACAGCAATTAGCACTTTGCATCAAAGATAGGGAAAAAAAGGTTGAAAAACAGACATTGCAGAGCCCACACCAAACGCCTTCAGCCCCTCTACTGGACAGCAGCACTGCAGTGTTCATTACTTCCCACGATATGAAGGTGTCGGATGATTTAACTATTTAAAAGAAAATTACAAGTAATAGGGACAAGAACTAAAAAGGGTTTACGCTTGAGAAAAAGTCACACTGTCCTCAAAATCAAAGGGGTTCAAGTAAGCATTAATGTGCTCAGCAAATTCATGGTCATCTGCCAAGACATTTTTGCCTGTGGCTCTGAAGACAGCTCAGAGTGTATAAAATGGAAAGGGTTCATCCTCGGGGGATTATGAATGTGCTCAGTAAGTCTTATGACAACCCCAATGTCAGATTTTGATTCTTATTTGTGTACAAGTAAACATTTTGGACTGATAAAGGTGCTAGGAAAGGTGGCCGGACATTACAGCTTGATTCCACCGGTCATGTCTGCGTCACATTTCAGCCACTGTAGCTGATCGCGGTCAGACTAGACAATGCTTTTGCAGCGCCTGGTTAGCTCAGTTGGTAGAGCTGGCGTCCCATGTACCGAGGCCGAGTCCTTGCTGCAGTGGCCCAGGGTTCATATTGGAACCTTCATGTGTGTCATCCCCTATCTCTGCCCCCCTTTCCTGTCTGTCTTCAGCTGGCACTATCATAAAGGCAATAAAAAGGCCAAACTAACAAGAAACAATTAAACTACATAGCCTACTTACCAATGGTAGAATCACAAAAATCAAGAAAAAATGACAAAATCAACTAAATCTGAGCAAGTCAACAAAACTGGGAGAGCAAAATGCTTCTGAAGCGCTGTGCTGAGAATGGAACAGAACAGCGCTGCTGAGTTGCTGAGGCGGTGGCAGGGTGTGACCATCTTTATAGCACTGGCAAGATTATGATGAGGGACATTCTACCTAAGCAGTCCTTTTGATGATATTTAGGTTGTTTTAAGGCACAACAGCATTGGGCTGCAACGATTCCTCGAGTACCTCGAGTACCTCGATTACAAAGAATGATCGAGGAATTTCGTCTGCCTCGAAGCCTCGTAAAGCTCACATTGTGCACGGATTCTTTTTAGTGTGACACAACGTGCTTACGTCACAACGCGGAAGAAGACGCAAGCGGGCTCTGTAACGTGTGTGGACAGTTTTGCTGTACAGAACGGCAGACGCCGGGACTGAAAACTGAAAACAGTGATCTGTCTTGTTTTCTATTGTGTATTTATAATTGGGCTTTAATTAAGCAAAAGTATGTTTCATCCGATTACTTGATGAATCGATGGAATATTCTATAGAATACTCGATTACCAAAATATCGATAGCTGTAGCCCTAAACAGCATTGCTGTTAGACATATATTAACATAAGGCCTATCTTATCCACTCCATGCTCCAGCTGTTGAATGCCACTCTGCTCTCTGGTGTGCGAATAGAGCCTCGGTCCTGCAGCTTTGATTATGCTGCAGCGGTTACATTTCCATTTGGAGCACTTTGCTTCAAACCTGGCACCTATACTGCCCACAATGCCACTTGACTGCTGTCAGTTCAGTCTGAAATTCGGGTGTGTAATGCTAGTAGCAGCTAATGTAGCTGTTAGCTTGCAGCAGAGTTGATGACGGGGCTACAGAGGTCTGGTAAGCTCACTTCTTTCCCAAATGTTTCATTTTCAAACCCAACTGGTGCTGACTCACTTGAGGACATTTATCAGACTTCAAAACGGCTCCCTCAGGAGACACAAAAGGCTTTATACAACTTAGTCCTCAACAATGGGAAACAATTCTCCATTAAGATATGACTGTAATGATCCCAATGACGTAGAAGTGCACATACTGAATATACTAAAACTATGCCAAAGTCACAGCTGAACTGTTCTCCAACTGATTTCTAATTGTAATGACATTGTCATCGTCATCACAGCATCTATTACAGTTATAATTAGAATGCCAGTTGTATTTAACCCCTGCAACTCTACCATCAGCAACAGATCAGTGGGTTTAAGAGGGAAGTCATTTTGTTTTTTTTGCTCAGCCTTTTCTTGAAAAAAATGTATATAGCACCTAAAAATGTGGATATATTTAATTCAGATTCCCTTTGTTATTACTGCCAGCCTATAACTGTTTGTACTTGGTTATCAATATGGAAACTTTCTTGCCAAAGTGTGTTACAAAAACATAAATATAAAAGAATTATTCAGTCCCCTCTTAACATTGTGACAGCTACTAATAACAGCTCTGACAGGCCCTCCCAAACATCCGCATCACTGACTTCCAATTAATATCATGGCATCCCGAAAACATTCAAATGAGTCTTTCTGCTGCTATCTATTGTGTCTCTGGGGAGGAGAGCCTGAGTGAGTTCAACAACACTGAGTCAGTCTGGTGTTCGCTTGTCTAAGTTCGCTCTCTCCGTAGAATTAATTGTCGTCGGTAATTAATCCGGGACCTGTCTGACACCTCTGCCTTGTTTGGGTCTAATTGATAAACAGGACGATTTTAATTGCTCGGTTGTGTGATAATAAAGCTCTCACTGCGGTATCACTCGGTTCAAACTTTTTCCCCGTATTACAGAGGTGTGGGAGGTTGTAGAGTTGTCATGTCTGTGACAGAGTGATGGAGCTTCATCATCCTCATCACCAAGAAGAGGTTCAGCTATCATCAAGTTTGCTAATTAAAATTTTGTGAGGGGTGGGCAGCTACTGAAAGCACTGGCAAAGTCGATGACAATTACAGACAAGCATTTTGTCATGAGGAACACTGGTGTCCACCTTGGTGGTGGCCAGGAAATCAATTACATAACTTGGTTTTTTTTATATCAGTTAACGTTACAACAAATGTCTACCTATCTAGATATGAAAAAACGCATGTAAATGCACACAGAACGCATTGTGATTAGAAATAGTGCCCCCTTCCCCTGGGGGAAATGTGGAATATTTCTATTGATTTAATTAAACAGAAATGGAAAATAACATTCATAGGTATGTTTTCATTAGTGTATAATCACCTGAAAATAAGAATCGTGGCAGCCACCAGTGGTACATGTACATGTAAACTATGTACCATAGTTTGAGAACCAGTGAGTTGGAGAATAAATGCTCTAAGTGGTTATGAGACCATTCAAAGGGTCCTCTGGGACAGTCTGTAATTGAGAACTAGCAGGAGTACTCAATAGAGCAACTCAATGAACCATTTCAAGTTGGTATGAGGCTAAAAGGTCACTCTGTCTTTGTAAATCTATATTATTTCTCTCCATGCACATGTATTTTAGGACATGTATCTAGAACAGTATTCCACATGACCCAGGACAATGAAAATTACACTCATCAATATCCTACTTTATAAAACTGTTTGAAAATGTAAACTATATCATTATACTATATGTTGAACTTATTGTCCAGTTGGGCAAGTGCCATTAGCCCACAGATCTGGTCACACTGGCTTTTAACCATTCCTGTCTTAACATACCAGACTCCCACAAGCACCAACAGCTATCTTTGCATGGTTAAAGAAAAGCTTTGGTAAGGAAATGGCAGGCCATTTATAGGTTAGTGTAAATTCCTGTGATAACAAATACAATATATAAATAAAATATTACAGGTGTGTGATTACACCAACTGTACCTTTAACCAAATAACCTGGATATCAAACTACCACACACCAACCAACGTTGCTCTAGTATTATCTAGTTGAACCTTTGACCAATATGGCAATATCCCCCAACTAATACAAAGGTTTAATTAATGGAAGATCCCATACTAAACATCCACTGGACGAGCAGACACTCTCAGGTCTGAGTGAACTCTGGTGAACTACTGCTTTTCATTCTGTCTTTTAATGCTCTCCTACAGGGCCTCTGACTGACCTCAGCCTCTACAGAGATGTGCAAATAGATCCATATATTTACCTACAGCTATAACTCTACCCAATGAATCAGAGCAAAGTGATACACAGCGGTCGGCCAGAGGGGTCGATACCTTCACCTGGGTGTGAGTGACTGTGAGATTGAATTGATTGTGTTTGGGAATGAACCAGTTTAATTAGTGCCGGCTGTCAGGGATTTAATTGGGATTGGAGTTTGGCATGCTCCTCAGTGCTTGATTAAGTATATTAAGAGGAATTAGCATTACAATATGTGTTTATCAGTGTGATGTACACAGAAAGCAGCAGATACTTAAATCATCATCATGTCATTTACTTGGATTTATACTATTCTCACCTGGATGTGTTGTTACAAGGATAGTAACGCTGTGTTCAAGTACAAGTGTTCTGGAGATGAAAACCTTGTAAATATCAGTGGACAGAAAATCCCACAGTCTGGAAGAACTATTGCATACTAAATGGAACCAAATGCTTAATTGACAGAGCATATTAGGTTAGAGATGTTATGTAGCTACATACTTAGCGGTCCTACCACCTAACACTACCAGGACTGGGAGCTCGAAGGAACTAACAAGGACTAGTAGACAAGGAAAATCTTAAGTCGGTGACAAATAAAATATAACACAAATAAGAATTCAAAGTAATTTATATTTTGAGTAGAATTTCTAATTTGCCTTTTTGGCTGCTGCCCCCAAGATTGAACTCAACCTGG